GTTAGAGACAAGATGGCAGATAGAGATTAGGGGGGAAGGAAAGGGAAGGGGCTGCAGTGGGAGATGGTAGGGCGCTGAGTAGGGTGGAGCTTGCAAATAAGGACAGGGCTTTCTGGGGACCTGGTGAAGGGGGGTCTAAAGTGCTTATTCTCAAGTAGTAGAAGCCTCAGATGTCAGCCTCCAGCAGGTACTGCTCAGTGTAACCCTTGACCAGCTCGAGCCCCAAGCTGGCCTGGCAGAAATAAGCCAGCTGTGAACACAAGTGGGGCACCAGGAAGAGCTGACACATGACGTTGAGGCCGGCAAGGCGCCGAGCCTGGCACTGCAGGTGCCAGAGGAGCTGGCTCTGCACCTGGGAGCAGTCGCAGCCGAAGGCATCGACGTTGAGGCAGCACCATGTGCCGTCGCCTCAAGGCGGGATAGGAAAGGGGTGTGCACGGCGTGATCACGCGCGGGCGCGGGCGGCTGTCCACGCACCACTCCAAGCCCTTGGCCGCCAACAGGTGCCAGTTGCTCCCGATCGGCTGGTAGGGCTGCGAGTCCTGGATGCTGGTTCCACCCGGGAGCACGTCGCGCTGCACGGAAATCGACAGCAGGAGGCCGGCCACGTCACCGCCTGCTTCTGCCGGGGCCTCAGTGGGCAGCGCTGAGTAAGTGCCGGAGGCCCGCAGCGCCGCCAGCCCGGCGTCCAGTCCTGCCAGCAGCGCCGGCGCGCGGAGCCGGAACAAAAGGATGCCCTGTGGGGGGCACAAGTGAGCGCCCGAGGGCGGCGGGAGGGCTGGCGAGCCCGGCGCCACTGCCTCTCGGCATTTCGCTCCCACATTCACGCCACGGGGTCCCACTTGGGTCCTGCAGGGGCATAGACCGTGCTTTACAGGGTGAAGTGAACATGTGAAAGCCTGGGTCCCGGAGGATAGCATGGATGAACCAGAGGCAAAGCCTCGGAACAGGAGGCGTGGGGTCAGTGTGGAGTACCCAGGGGCCTGGGGATGTGGGCCGCCGAGTCTCCGAGGGAAGTGGAAGTGGGGAAGCAGATCAGTTGGCGGCATGAGGGAGGCGGAGGGAGGGTAAAGGCTCGGTGCTTGGGTTCCTGAAGGGAGACAGGACTGATGTAGGGGAGGGAGGCAGGGCCACGGAAGTCGACTCCTGGGCTCTTCAGTCTCCCCAAATAAGGACTGAGGGTTTGGCAGCTGGGAGTCAGGAGCTGTTTGACTTCCCCTTGGCAACAGGGCATGGGTAAGGACTGGGAATCCCAGGGCAGGGCTCATGGGCGCTCTCACCCGGTAGAGCCGGCAGAGAAAGAAAGCCGGTGCCTGGCTGGGCCTGGGGTAGGACGCCGAGCCCCCTTGTCCTTCTCACCTGCTTGGTGATTAGGTGGTATTTCTTTAGCTCCTGGGGACCCAGCTGGCGGTCCCGGGTAAGCCGTGCCACCTTGACCCGCGGGTGCTGTCGCTTGACCAGCAGCGAGCAGAAGCGCTGCGGCAGCCTGGCCTCGCCCTCGCCGCGCTCCCGGAGCGCCACGCGCAGCGCCTCCGCCAGCGCGGTCTTCTCGGCATCGATCACGAGCACCGACTCCAGCGCGATCTGTGGACCCAGGTCATTAGGGGGCCCCTTCCCCGCCTCCAGCCCATTCGGCTGGTAGGGCTGGCTTCTTCGCACACGCTGAGCGCTCCTTCGTCATTATCCTGGGCGCCAGGCCAGACCTGGTGCCAGTCCTGGGAGGTCTCCTCAGCACTTGGGTCTCGGATTCCAGAGCTGGCAGTAACGGTCATTCGCCGGGGCGGCTTCCACCTCTTGAGATGCTTTAGCTCCCAGTGCAAACAGGTCCCTGACCACTCGCCACGCCCCCTTTCATTGGGCCCACCCCCAGGAGATGGCCACGTCCCAGCTACCTACCCCGCCCCCTTCTTCTAGGCTTCTCCCCCAGCCCATCTCTGAACTAGTCCTGCACACCCACCTCAACCAGGCCTTCTTTGTGTGATTGTGTGAAAGGTCAGTCTATTCAAGAGTCCTGGCCCCACTCTACCTCCACTCCACCTGCTCCCCTCTTTTTGTGCTCCTGTGCCCAGAAACTCCTCAAACAAATCCTGAAATACCGATGCTCTCACCAATCCCTCCAGTTCCTCCACTATTCTGAGTTCTACAGGTCCCCCACCCCACCCTCACTGGTTAGGCCCCTGGATCTGAACGTCCTACTCTTTGATTCCAAAGCCTACTCTATATCCTCAGCAACCTGACAAGGACTGAGGGAAAGGCTTGCTCTCTCTCCTTCTTAAGATCCAGGCACCCAAAGGTGGCTTCACCCTTTTTCACCTGGGTCCCAGCCCCGGTTCTCACCGCTCCTCTGTTGCGCTTAGCCAGCACCATAGTACAGTTGGGATCCCCGAGCCAGCTGTGGTAGCAGCTGGGAAGATAGCCAAGGTCACCATAGATGCCTCCTGAAATGGCCAGCACCTCCTTAAACTTCTGTTATGTGGCCACCACAAGGTCCAACTGCTCAACCTTGGTCTTAGGCCCAGATCTGGACCTGGGCTTGGCCCCCAAGAACTTGGCCTTGGCCTCAGGCCCTGACTGGGACCCCAGAGGCTCTTTTTCAGCCTCCATCCCTGATCCAGACTTGGGCTTAGCCCTGGCCTCCTGTGGCAAGATTTCTGAGAGTGGCTCCACATCTGGCTCTGCCTCTTTTTGGGGGTTAGGGACCTCTGAGGTGGCTATGCCACAGCCAGCTTCCAGCTTCATTATACCCTGCAGAAAGAGAGAACCCAGCGTTGGGTCAGAGCCTCCTGTTTCCACATCTGGCCCCCTACACACAGTCCCCACAACCCCTTTCTACACAAACACTGCTTCTCTTCTGCTCTCCACACAGATCCTCCTGGGAATAGAGGGCCTCTAGCTCCCCCCTCCCACCCGCTTCAAGAACTCCCAATCCTACTCTGCTCCACCCAACCAGGATGCTTCTTAACACTCACAAACTCAGGATCTTGTCAGCCCCCCAGAGACTAGCCCCTGACCCTCATCATCCCCAGTCAGCCCAAAGACTTAAAGGAAAGAAGGGGGTGTAAATAATGGAGGGACATCCCCTCAAGGGCCCTACCACCTCTCTGTAAGAACATGAGAAAGGAATTCCTATCATCAGCACTCCCCTTCCAGGAGGGTTTTCAGGAAAAGGGAAGGATTCAACTCCCACCACCTTTCCTGCCACTGTCACTTATCATCCCAGGGCAAAGGGAGGGAGATTTAGACCCCAGATCTTCTTCATATTGCTGCCCTAGTGCCCTCCACCTCCAACACACATATTCAAATACAAACCAAAGGAGTGGACAGATGGACAGCTCCATTAGAAAATGTCAAGCCGTTCCTTCCAGGCTCATCAAAACCACCCTTTCCTTCATCCTTGAGTCTGTTCCCTCCTTAGCGAGACTTAGCTCCCCTCCAGTATGATCATTTTGAAAAGGGCTCTGTTGGGGCTCCAACAAACAAAATGTCCACCAAGATCACCCATGTGCTCTCCCCATTTTCCTCCCTTCCAAAGATGGAGTCCCTCCTCTCCTCTCTTCTCCCCCTTCCTCCTTTTAAAATTTGTTCCTGTAATCTTTGCCCCATCTCCCACACAGGACTTTCCCTGCCCTTCCCATTCCTCAAGGTCTCCTTTTTGGGTCAATTCCGTGTAGATCTGGCACCTGTTTGGCCTCTGGTCTTTTCTCTTTTCCCTGCCAGAGACAGGGCCAAAAAGAAAGCCCCTTCCCCAAGTCCAGATGACTATTTCCCAGACCAAGCCATCAAATCCCCTTCCTCTCTCTTTTGGCCAGTTATAATTCCCCCTCACATAACCTGCATTAAACCTCATTAACAAACATCCCAAGGGACACACATACCAGGTACTTTGTGGAGGGTGAAATTGGCTTGGTCGGATTTTTTTTTTAATATGTCTTTATTTATTTCACAGAGAGGAAGGGAGAGGGAGAGAGAGAGAAACATTAATGATGAGAGTCATTGATTGACTGCTTTCAGCACTCCCCCTACTCGGGATCGAGCCTGAAACCCAGGCATGTGCCCTGAGCAGGAATTAAGCCCTGATCTCCTAGATTACAGGTCATAGGTCGATGCTCAGCTGCTGAGCCACACCAGCCCCGAGGATTTTTTTTTTAACAAGAACTTGACCTAGGCTTGGGAGGGGCACCAAAANTTGGTCGGATTTTTTTTTTAATATGTCTTTATTTATTTCACAGAGAGGAAGGGAGAGGGAGAGAGAGAGAAACATTAATGATGAGAGTCATTGATTGACTGCCTTCAGCACTCCCCCTACTCGGGATCGAGCCTGAAACCCAGGCATGTGCCCTGAGCAGGAATTAAGCCCTGATCTCCTAGATTACAGGTCATAGGTCGATGCTCAGCTGCTGAGCCACACCAGCCCCGAGGATTTTTTTTTTAACAAGAACTTGACCTAGGCTTGGGAGGGGCACCAAAAGGTGGGTTAGGGATGATTTTAGCTTCCATACCATAAACAGAGCTCATGTAAACACAGTGCTTACTATACAAACAAGCTTCAAAACATCAGCACCATCTTCCTCTTTTCAATCTGATGCTGATGCCTTAGGTTCTTCCAGGTAAGACAGTTCAGGCCAATATCATCCGAGGCACAGGCTCAGAGGATCTTAGAGCTAGGGTCACCAGAGACCACCAAGTTCAACCCATTTATTTCACAGTGAGGAAATCCATTCTCAAGACTGTAAGCTTTCCTGGCTCCCAGGCTAGTGGGGGGGCCAGGAAAATGTAAATTTTTAATATTTTTTTGTGTATCTAGATCTCCAAACCCAGTCTGAAAAGCAAAGATAGGAATTACTGGGTCCTTGGCAGGAATCAGAGGTCCCAAATGCTAAGGGCTGAGCTGACTCAGAATCAGAGATGGGATTGTGGGAGGAACCCCCACTGCCTTCCCCCACTGTCAGCAATTTCTAGGCCAACAACAAGGTGAAGCATCAGGCTCCTTGCATCAGACTCTGGAGATGATGGGCCCTAGAGATGCCTCCCATCTGCATCTCCAGGCAACCTCACCAGCTGTTCATGCATCCCTGGAAAGTGAAAGCTGGTAGTTTAGGGGTAACTTCAGCAATTCCCCACTGCCCCCAAGGGGGGCAGAATGTGAGCAACTTGTAAACTGGAGCATATCCAACAAATCTAAGACATTAGGCTTTTCTTTCCCTCCCTTGCTTTCAAGATGAGACTATTTTCAATGGTGTCTACATGTCAGACTAGGTTGTTTGTAAAGGGGGGGGGAGGAGGGGATTCCCAGGGTCACAGGGAAGAAGGAAAGGCTTGCCAGTTCATCACCCATCTTTTCTTCCAAGGCACTCCTCTCTACTCCTATTCCATTTTCGGGGGATACAAAGATTCCAAGGCCCTTAAACCCTGGAGGAGGTGGGTGCTGGGGAAAAAAATAAGGCCAGGGGTTCCACGCCAAGCCAAAGCTGCCGACCAGCTGCACAACCTTTGCTCCACACACTGATCACTTCCCACCCTCCAGTATGATACCCTCCAATTTGGCTCCTTGAACTATAACTCCCGTAAAGTGTCTAGGCAGAGGCAGTCCTGTGCCTCCAGGGCACTGTGGGAAACGTAGTTCAGGCATCACGTGGACCAAGTTCCAGGAAGAGGGGCAGCATTTCCCTGCCATCCACATCCCCACATCCTTGTATCTGTTCTTTCAATCTCATAAACGTGAATGATCACTGTAGGGATAAGGGGAGGATTGAAGTCATCGCTGGGCATGCTGGGAGCCCCCCCTTCCCACCTCCACCGGACCCCACACACCTGATATATTGATGCCCTTGAGATCCCAGCTTTTGGGAGCTGGAAGAAGGAGGAGAGAGAGCAGAGAGGCTGAGACAAAGAGATGGCAGCTACACAAAGCGCCCAAGTACCAGACCAGAAAGGAGGAGAGCATAGGCAGAGAGGAGACAAAGGGGGACAGGGAGGTGGGGTCAGAGAGGATAGGAAAGGGGAGGGCAGGCATGGACACGGAATCACAGACGCGACACCTCGTGACTCAGGGCTCAGCTGATGCAAAAAAAGTTCTAGCACTGCACCCCCTCCCCAGGGAGCCAGTAAAGAGAAAGCAGAGTGACACACCCCCTTCTCTCGGGCGTGGGGTGGGGGAAGGGGTCAAGGAAAGGAGGGAGCCGGAAAAGAGGCTGGAGGAGAGCGGAGACCTGGAGGAAAGAGGCCGGGGCGACAAGACGCAGTGGGGCAGAGGCGCGGGTGGAGGAAGGCGGACCAAGGAGTGGGGGGAGGGGTGCCTC